GTTATGAGACGATTCCAACGAGCTATGGTGCATCTTTCTACGATCATTGGATGCCAAGTTATTACGTGAAACGTAATATTTTTAGGTTTCGACAATTTCGACATGTCGAAACTATTTCGGCATTTCGGCAAATCAGAGAGCCAATGTCGAAATGTCGAAATAGTTTCGACAATTTCGACATGCCGAAACTCCCTAATTTCGGCAGGCAACTTTACTCAAGTTGCATTTATTTTTGCATGTCGTGTCTCCAGCCACACTATTATCATATCAATAAAACAATATTCGGATATAGACATTTCTTCAAGCAATCATTATTTCGCATATGAGATTGGGGACATCTATGAAGTTATTTTTATCGATTTGCAGGGAAGATTAATAGAATGACGAAATGCGGTGCGTAGTTAGTATTTATTTCGCAGGACACTATAAAAACAGAGTCATAAGACGCCTTGCATGAAAAATTACATAGTTATATTTTTTGGAAAACATTACCATGAAAACTAAGAGAGCTCAGCTAATACGGAAGTCGAAAACTCGATTACTGCTAAGGAAATCAATATGAAGGGCCTAATCGACAGTACACAAAGAAGTGACATTTACAAAGTGCAATCAAGATGTAACAGAGCCCTAAAAATATATATATTGAAATACCTTCCAAAGGATATACTTCGTGAAGAGCCGGATTTTTTATCGATTAAATCCAACGATACTATCCTGGATTATGAACTGTGTGAAGAATGTAATATTCCTATTTTAATAGAAGACCCACCTAGATCGCTTGTTTTAAACGTTTGTGTTGATATGATCAATCAGACTTGTATGAAAGCAATGTATAAAGATGGAGTATTATTTTGCTCATGTGGCGTGGTCGATGATAATAGTGATCCATTATTACCTTTCCAATACAGCATAATTGATTATGGCAGTAGAGAAAAGAGCAGGCTGAAGCTATTTTACCAAATGGGCATCTTGCCAAATGGATATTTTACTGAATGAAAATTTCGCATTATTTCATTGTTTTTATGCTAAATAGTACATAAAGAAATCTTTCTAGAAAAATTTCTAAATTAGATGATGTTTATTAAATTTATCCCGTTCTTTATAAATACATTAATCTTTTTTTACTTACTTTTTCGTGAATAAATTATAAAATTATTTATTTATTGCTTGGCAATTAATATCAGTTATTGAATGTTAAAGTGATGATAATATCCTGAAAAAAAAAGATCTCTAAAAATAATTTATTTTTTATTTTCATTGCATGATGAATATTTTTCATAAATGTTAATCGCAACTATTTCAGCGAAATCGGTGAAATGACTTCAGCGAAATGGGATTTTGGTAAAATGGATTTCAGCGAAATTACTTCAGAGAAATGGGGTTTCGGTGAAATAGATTTTGGCGAAATGACTTCAGAGAAATGGGATTTCGGTGAAATGGATTTCGACGAGATGTACCGTAACTATTTTGATATATGTATTATATTCTCTGATGACTCTTCATTTAAATATAAAATAAAATGAAATATAAACTATGTAATAAAATAAAATAAAGGTCATTTGAATATTTGTGTAAGACCATGTGGCTTTAGCTAGGTAGTGAGCGATGCAAACCTACACGTGTAAAACGAACATTCTACCGACAAATCACGTTTAAGGGTATGATATGCCAAATCACGTGATCTTATGAAGATCATGGCCAAATCTAGACTCGTTACAAGTAAAAAAATTTTTTTACCCACGAAAACTTTGCTCTTTGGTTTTTAGAGTTAAGGTCTATCAAATAGTATGGTTTTGGGCACAGTTTATTCATAAAATTAAACCAAAAAGCAAGTTAAAAGTTGTGAGAAACTGCAAATCCTCTAAGGTAAGTTGCGAATCCGCTAAATACCCTATCTTTAAATTAATTAAAACTTTCTTATACTTTGCAAATAGATAGTGCATTTATAGTATTATAGTAGTAATTTATCTAACAATTAAATAAAACTTATTATTAATATCCTTTATTTTTTTTTAGTGTTCATATATTCTCTATATTACTATTTAAATACAAAATATCAAATATTTTGTGAAGTAATGATTAGAATCTTGTGTTTTCATAATGAAATTAAAGGACAAAGTAAAAGATTCTGTAAGTAAAAATTATGTATGTTAGAAATTTATGAAGATATTAAGTTTTTAATATTTGAATAAAATTATTTATTTTCTTTAAATTTATTTATATATATTATTTAGAAATATTAATAAGTGATTAAAAATTTTTTTAAATTATTGGAGTGGTTATCTATCTTCTTTTTGAATACGAATTTAATAAAATTTGTTAGGTAGTTTATGAAATATTAATTTTTTTGCAATTAACTGTTTTTTTTTGTTTGATTTCGGCATCGCCATATAAAACCCATATGTTCATATAAAGGGGTGAACCCTACCCTTAATTGGTAGTAATCATCATATACTTAATAGATTATCTATTGATGATTTGCGGAAATAAAATAAAATCAAAATAAAATAGGGTTTTATTATTTCTTTTTGATTTTCTTTTTTNTTATCTATTGATGATTTGCGGAAATAAAATAAAATCAAAATAAAATAGGGTTTTATTATTTCTTTTTGATTTTCTTTTTTTCTCTTTTTTTACAAATATGATTTGTTTTTTGATAATTTCCCTCTAACTTCCAAAATTTCTAATATCAGATATAACTTTTTTATCCGTATATTCTGTGACATTCTAATTAAAGATGTTGAATGTCATGGTCTTACTTTACGAAATTATGTTTGATTTCCTGTAGTTCTTACTGATATGTATTTCTTTGTGAAATAAAATAAAATAAATAATAAAATATCAAAAGATTTATTGCAATAATGAAATTTTTCTTATATAAACCCTCCAAAAATGTTTTTATAAAATTCATAAAACTTAATACACAATGAATCGCCTATATACCCTAATTTTTATTCTTTTTACCTTTCTCTTCGTTACCGCTTTTTCAGAAGAGGATTTAATACCTGTCAAACAAGTTACTGCTAATCTTCTCAAAATCAGAAAAGTTGGATACAATAAATTAATTGCAGAAGTTACATGGGATGGAACACTTGAAAGAGATGATGGTAACAGCGGGTTTCCCTATTTTATATTTTACATAAATAATTTTTACGAACTTTTTTTTTAAATAAAATAAATAGAACCGGTTAAAACCAAATTTAGATGCTTTTCTGATGCTGTGACTGTTAAAGGTCCTAAGGTAATAAATTATTCGTCCTTTATGAACTTCAAAATAATATTTTTATCTTTTATTAATTAAAAAATTTTTTTTTATAGCATGGTGTATTTGGTGACCGTAAGGTCAATTTCGAATTAAAGGTTCACAAAAAGAATGTCAATGTGAAATGTCGATTTGGAATTTTCGATATTGACTCTTTCAAGAACATAATTAGTTTCCGAACTTAACTCTAGCAGTATTAAATTATTATTATTTATTATTTAATGTAGTATGTGGCGCAGCTAGTAAGTTAAATTGTAATAAAAAAGTTATAATAGTAAGCTTTCTCCTAGGATCAATAGGACAAAAGAATGTTTACATCTAACATGCCTTTTATATTTGTGATATACGAATTAATGTTTTTAATACTATTGAATGTCTCATAAAAATCGGCCAATAAAATCCCCACTAGGGTGTCCACCAAAATTGACATTATAGTACTATAGCGTAGGGTGTCCAGGATTTCATGGTGTGATGGCCCGAAAAGTGTGGTGTGGTTTAAACAAAAAGTGCGATTTTTAATTCTGGCCATATTTAGCGTAATTTCGGCTGGAATTAACATAATAATTTTAACTTCAAATTCACTATCTTAATTCGAGCCAAAATTTGATAACCGAAAACCAATCATGTGATCATCAATCGACCAATAAAACTCAATTACTGCGGATAGTGTTAAAAATGTGAAATTTTGCCAAAAAATGCGGCCACACCAAAAGTGTGAAAAAGGTGTGACCGTTCTATCCTGGACACCCTACTATAGCGCCACTACAAAACCGTTGATCTTAATTTTTGGCCGGAATTTCAAATCGTAATCACGTTATTCACGAGTTTATCTAGCCATCCAATTTCGTGAAAAAATCGCGATCACTCCAAAATCGTAAAAAATAAAATAAAATCGGGATCAAACGCCCTAATCCCCGCATAGTAGTATTCCAAACTATATAATCTGTTATCAAATGATCAAATCCTTTCAAGCTAAATCTAGATTCCACAGTTCCACAGTTCAATTAGTATTCAAAAACACTCATTTATGTACGTATTTGACAAGTTATAAATGAAAATCAATAACATTATTGGTATGATACTGGTATGATCCAGACTTTTCGCCGAATCCCATTTAATATTTCGCGTTATTTTATTGTTTTTATAATAAATAGTACATAAAGAAATTTTTCTAGAAAAATTTTAAATTAGATGATGTTTATTAAATTTATCTCGTTCTTTATAAATACATTAATCTTTTTTTACTTACTTTCTATATAAATATATATATTTCGTGAATAAGTGTTTTCAGAATTATAAAGTTATTTATTTATTGCCTGGCAATTAATATCAGTTACTTGAATTTTAAAGTGATAATATCCTGAAAAAAAAAGATCTCTAAAAATAATTTATTTTTTATTTTCATTGCGGGATGAATATTTTTCATAAAATGATGTTAATCGCTACCATTTCGGCGAAATCGGCGAAATGACCAGCGAAATGGGGTTTCGGTGAAATGGATTTCGGCGAGATGACTTCAGCGAAATGGAGTTTTGGTGAAATGGATTTCGGCGAGATGTACCGTAACCATTTGACATATGTATTATATTCTCTATAACGACTCTTCATTCAAAAATAAAATATAAATTATGTAATAAAATAAAATAAAGGTCATTTAAACATCTGTCTAAGACCATGTGGCTTTAGCTAGTAGGTGGTGAGCGAGCGATGCAAGCCTACACGTGTAAAATGAACATTCTACCGACAAATCACGTTTAATTGGTAGTAATCATCATATTCTTAATAGATTATCTATCGATGATTTACGGAAATAAAATAAAATAAAAATAAAATAGGGTTTTATTAGTATTTCTTTTTTGATTTTCTTTTTTTTTTTCCTTTACCAATATGATTTATTTTTTTAATAATTTCACTCTAACTACCGAAATTTCTAATTTCGGATATGACTTTTTTATCCGTATATTCAGTGACTTTCTATTAATCTCGCGTTAAACAAATTTATCATTTAATTAAAATCATGTGTCAAAATTTTAAAAATCTNCATATTTCAATATTAGATGCTTCATAAAAATAAAATCCCGCATATTCATGATCAATAGATCTGTTATCAATCATTTTGCCCCCGCATTGTATCAAGCTAACACAGTTCCCACAGTTCAATTAGCATCGATAATTCCATAAAATTATTTTTACAAAAGTTTGCGTGTAATATTACACTAAAAAATCGACCCATTCCATATAACCATATAAACAAGGAGCATATTGAATTATTAAATATGGTAAGCAGTGTTGGAAATTCAGATTATTCTTATATGTGCGGAGCGCACATTATTCAAAAAAGTTTTGCGCGCAACCTATGAAGGCATATGCGCTCTTATACATAAAATAAAATAATAGTATGAAATATCGCGCCTACCTACATTCCATCACTGATAGTAAGATGCTTTATTATTATTAAAATCTAAATTTATTCACTTTTACTCCTTAATTTTAATTACCTTAAAATGAGAGATTATCATTATAAAATCTCAAGAGATTTATTTCAATAATAAAATTTTCTTATAAAAACCAAAAAATATTTTTCATAAAATTCATAAAACTTAATACATAATGAATCGTTTACATATCTTGATTTTTATTCTTTTTACCTTTCTTTTCGCTACCGCTTTTTCAAAAGAGGATTTAGTACCTGTCCAAGAGATTAATCCTAAACCTCTTATAATCAAAAAAGTTGGACACAATAAATTGATTGCAGAAGTTACATGGGATGGAACACTTGAAAGAGATGATGGTAACGGCGGGTTTCCCTATTTTATATTTTACATAAATAATTTTTACGAACCTTTTTTTTAAATAAAATAAATAGAACCGGTTAAAACCAAATTTAGATGTTTTTCTGATGCTGTGACTGTTAAGGTAAATTATTCGTCCTTATAAACTTCAAAATAATCATAAGTTTATCTTTATTAACTAAAATATTTTTTTATAGCATGCTTTATTCGGTGACCGTAAGGTAAAGATGGTCAACGGTCCTAAAGACCATGGTCCTCTCCGGTCCTAAGTGCAAAAAGACCAGACCGCTCAGGACGCGGTCCTCCATCGGTCTTCATAAATTTTGATTTTGAAATTTACGATAATTCCGGCTAAAATTAAATGATCGTCGCAAAAATATCCTTTTTTGGATTCTCGTGTACCAATTTTTCCATTTTGGAAGGAAACAAAATTTCCTTTTTTGGACTTGTGTAACGTCACGTGATCATATTTGACCAATCGCAGTGATCGGTCTTTATTAGGACCGTGGATTCAAGACTGCGGTCCAGTCCTACAAAGACCGGGACCGGCTTGGACCGGACCGAGACGGACCGAGTAGGACCATTGACCATCTTTACTATAAGGTCAATTTCGAAATAAAGGTTCACAAAAAGAATGTCATAGTGAAATGTCAATATGGGGTTATAGATGGTGTCATTTTCATAAGAAGAATTCGTTTCCGAACCTAACTCATTCTTTTGTCACTGGTTTGACAATATTAAAATTATTATTTATTATTTAATGTAATATGGCGCAGCTTAATTCTGTGGTTATAATAGCAAGCCTTCTCTTAGGAATGTTTACATATTTAATAATTTTGACGAGATCTATTAATAAGATCGTACATGCCTTTTATATTTGTAATATATTAATTCTACTAATACTATCATATTTCAATATTAGATGCCTATTCTGTACAATACTAATCTGTTATCAATCTTTTACCTCCGCATTGTATATATTAAGCTAAATCTGAACTCCACAGTTCCACAGTTCAATTAGCATCGATAATTCCATAAAATTATATTTACAAAAAGTTTGCGTGTAAAATTACACTAAAAAATCGACCCATTTTATAAAGAAGGAGTAATAATGAATTCAGTTATTAAATATGTTAATATGGTAAGATGCTCCATGGTTTTCAGGTTTTTAAAATTAAAATCAAGTGTCATCCAATGACACTTGGAAAATTTTTAACTTGTGAGGAAAATTGAATGGGATAGTAATTATCAAATCATTTCCAACTCCTTAATTTAAATCGCCTTAAAAAGGTGTTTTCATAATGAAATTAAAGGACAAAAGTAAAAGATTCTGTAAGTAAAAATTATGTATGTTAAAAATTTATGAAGATATTAAGTTTTTAATATTTGAATAAAATTATTTATTTTCTTTAAATTTATTTACATATATTATTTAGAAATATTAATAAGTGATTAAAAATTTTTTTAAATTATTGGAGTGGTTATCTATCTTCTTTTTGAATACGAATTTAATAAAATTTGTTAGGTAGTTTATGAAATATTAATTTTTTTGCAATTAACTGTTTTTTTTTTTGATTTCGGCATCGCCATATAAAACCCATATGTTCAAAAGGGGTGAACCCTACCCTTAATTGGTAGTAATCATCATATACTATCTATTGATGATTTGCGGAAATAAAATAAAATCAAAATAAAATAGGGTTCTATTATTTCTTTTTGATTTTCTTTTTTTCTCTTTTTTTTTACAAATATGATTTGTTTTTGATAATTTCCCTCTAACTTCCGAAATTTCTAATACCGGATATAACTTTTTTATCCGTGACATTCTAATTAAAGATGTTGAATGTCATGGTCTTACTTTACGAAATTATGTTTGATTTCCTGTAGTTCTTACTGATAATATATTTCTTTGTGAAATAAAATAAAATAAATAATAAAATATCAAAAGATTTATTGCAATAATGAAATTTTTCTTATATAAACCCTCCAAAAATGTTTTTATAAAATTCATAAAACTTAATACACAATGAATCGCCTATATACCCTAATTTTTATTCTTTTTACCTTTCTCTTCGTTACCGCTTTTTCAGAAGAGGATTTAATACCTGTCAAACAAGTTACTGCTAATCTTCTCAAAATCAGAAAAGTTGGAGACAATAAATTAATTGCAGAAGTTACATGGGATGGAACACTTGAAAGAGATGATGGTAACAGCGGGTTTCCCTATTTTATATTTTACATAAATAATTTTTACGAACTTTTTTTTTAAATAAAATAAATAGAACCGGTTAAAACCAAATTTAGATGCTTTTCTGATGCTGTGACTGTTAAAGGTCCTAAGGTAATAAATTATTCGTCCTTTATGAACTTCAAAATAATATTTTTATCTTTTATTAATTAAAAAATTTTTTTTTATAGCATGGTGTATTTGGTGACCGTAAGGTCAATTTCGAATTAAAGGTTCACAAAAAGAATGTCAATGTGAAATGTCGATTTGGAATTTTCGATATTGACTCTTTCAAGAACATAATTAGTTTCCGAACTTAACTCTAGCAGTATTAAATTATTATTATTTATTATTTAATGTAGTATGTGGCGCAGCTAGTAAGTTAAATTGTAATAAAAAAGTTATAATAGTAAGCTTTCTCCTAGGATCAATAGGACAAAAGAATGTTTACATCTAACATGCCTTTTATATTTGTGATATACGAATTAATGTTTTTAATACTATTGAATGTCTCATAAAAATCGGCCAATAAAATCCCCACTAGGGTGTCCACCAAAATTGACATTATAGTACTATAGCGTAGGGTGTCCAGGATTTCATGGTGTGATGGCCCGAAAAGTGTGGTGTGGTTTAAACAAAAAGTGCGATTTTTAATTCTGGCCATATTTAGCGTAATTTCGGCTGGAATTAACATAATAATTTTAACTTCAAATTCACTATCTTAATTCGAGCCAAAATTTGATAACCGAAAACCAATCATGTGATCATCAATCGACCAATAAAACTCAATTACTGCGGATAGTGTTAAAAATGTGAAATTTTGCCAAAAAATGCGGCCACACCAAAAGTGTGAAAAAGGTGTGACCGTTCTATCCTGGACACCCTACTATAGCGCCACTACAAAACCGTTGATCTTAATTTTTGGCCGGAATTTCAAATCGTAATCACGTTATTCACGAGTTTATCTAGCCATCCAATTTCGTGAAAAAATCGCGATCACTCCAAAATCGTAAAAAATAAAATAAAATCGGGATCAAACGCCCTAATCCCCGCATAGTAGTATTCCAAACTATATAATCTGTTATCAAATGATCAAATCCTTTCAAGCTAAATCTAGATTCCACAGTTCCACAGTTCAATTAGTATTCAAAAACACTCATTTATGTACGTATTTGACAAGTTATAAATGAAAATCAATAACATTATTGGTATGATACTGGTATGATCCAGACTTTTCGCCGAATCCCATTTAATATTTCGCGTTATTTTATTGTTTTTATAATAAATAGTACATAAAGAAATTTTTCTAGAAAAATTTTAAATTAGATGATGTTTATTAAATTTATCTCGTTCTTTATAAATACATTAATCTTTTTTTATTTACTTTCTATATAAACATATATATTTCGTGAATAAGTGTTTTCAGAATTATAAAGTTATTTATTTATTGCCTGGCAATTAATATCAGTTACTTGAATGTTAAAGTGATAATATCCTGAAAAAAAAAAAGATCTCTAAAAATAATTTATTTTTTATTTTCATTGCGGGATGAATATTTTTCATAAAATGTTAATCGCTACCATTTCGGCGAAATCGGCGAAATGACCAGCGAAATGGGGTTTCGGTGAAATGGATTTCGGCGAAATGGCTTCAGAGAAATGGGGTATCGGTGAAATGGATTTCGGCGAGATGTACCGTAACCATTTGACATATGTACTATTATATTCTCTGTAACGACTCTTCATTCAAAAATAAAATATAAATTATGTAATAAAATAAAATAAAGGTCATTTAAACATCTGTCTAAGACCATGTGGCTTTAGCTACTAGTAGGTGGTGAGCGATGCAAGCCCTACACGTGTAAAATGAACATTCTACCGACAAATCACGTTTAATTGGTAGTAATCATCATATTCTTAATAGATTATCTATCGATGATTTACGGAAATAAAATAAAATAAAAATAAAATAGGGTTTTATTAGTATTTCTTTTTTGATTTTCTTTTTTTTTCCTTTACCAATATGATTTATTTTTTTAATAATTTCACTCTAACTACCGAAATTTCTAATATCGGATATGACTTTTTTATCCGTATATTCAGTGACTTTCTATTAATCTCGCGTTAAACAAATTTATCATTTAATTAAAATCATGTGTCAAAATTTTAAAAATCTTGGACATATTTGTTGTAACTGAAATTGAATTTAAAATTCAGATACGGGAATTTCTGGGAAAGCCGATTGAAATTTAAATTCAGATATGATCTTCAAGTATCTGAATTTAAATTTCAGTTAAATTGGGATTTCAGATACGAGGTTAACTGAAATTAAAATGTCTAAATTTCAAATTCAGATAAAATTGGAATTTCAGATACGAAGTTATCTGAAATTAAAATGTCTGAATTTCAAATTCAGATAAAATTAGAATTTCAGATATGAGGTTATCTGAAATTAGAAATGTCTGAATTTCAATTCAGATAAAATTTGAAGTTCAGTTACAAGGTTATCTGAATTTAAGATGTCTGAATTTTAATTTCAGATAAAATTCCAATGTCTGAATTTAAAATTCAGTCAACTTTTCCAGAAATTCCCATATCTGAATTTTAAATTCAGTTAAATTTCAATTTCAGTCACAACATATTGAATGTCATACGTCCTACTTTATGAAATTATGTTTGATTTTCCTGTAATTCTTGCTGATAATGTATTTCTCTGTGAAATAAAATAAAATAAATAATAAAATATCAAAAGATTTATTGCAATAATAAGATTTTCTTATAAAAACCAAAAAATATTTTTTCATAAAATTCATCCTATATATCTTGATTTTTATTCTTTTTGCCTTTCTCTTCGTTACCGCTTTTCAGAAGAGGATTTAGTACCTGTCAAACAACTTTATTCTCTTCCGCTCAAAATCAAAAGAGTTGGACACAATAAATTGATTGCAGAAGTTAAATGGGACGGAGCACTTGAAAGAGATGATGGTAATATTTTCCCCCTATTTTTATACTATTTTACATAAATAATTTTTACGAACTTTTTTTTTTAAATAAAAATAAATAGAACCGGTTAAAACCAAATTTAAATGTTTTTATGATGCTATGACTGTTAAAGGTCCTAAGGTAAATTATTCGTCCTTTATGAACTTTAAAATAATATATTTATCTTTTTAATTAAAAATTTTTTTTTATAGCATGCTGTATTCGGTGACCGATGGGTCAATTTCGAATTAAAGGTTGACAAAAAGAATGTCAATGTAAAATGTCGATTTGGAACTTTAGATGATATTAACTCTTTCAAGAACATAATTAGTAGTTTCCGAACTTAACTCTAGAAGTATTAAAATTATTATTATTTATTATTTAATGTAATATGTGACGCAGCTAAGTTTTACGCAAATTTTTAGAATAATGAAATTGTAATAAAAAAGTTATAATAATAAGCTTTCTCCTGGACGAAAGAATGTTTACATCTAATATGCCTTTTATATTTGTGATATACGAAATTACGAATTAATGTTTTTAATACTATTGAATGTCTCATAAAATATCGGCCAATAAAATCCCCACTAGGATGTCCAGGATAGGTTGTCGTGATGACCCAAAAATCCGGTGTGATTTTCAGTTCTTTCGCAAATTCGCTTTCGTAATTTCAGCCAAAATTGAAATTATAGTACTATAGCGTTTAATTCGCCACTACAAAACCGTTGATCCTAATTTTCAGAATTTCAAATCGTAATCACGTTATTCCCGAGTTTATCCAGCCATCCAATGTCGTGAAAAATCGTAGAAATTTATCAAAAATCGCGATCACTTTGCAGAAACCCGTGATTTGCTACCATACAGTCAAATGATCGCTATCAAATTACAACGATCTAGTATCGGACACGTGATAATTATAGTGTCAGACTATCTCGTGAAACCGTCGATGACACACTAATACGAAGTCTTTTTGAAGTTGTAACATAGTCTTAAATAGATAGTAAATATCATCGAAAATTAGCTGAAACAATTAATATAATACATTTTTTCGATGCATTAGACATTTATTTAACGGTTTCTTTACTTTTTTNCGCAACCTATGAAGGCATATGCGCTCTTATACATAAAATAAAATAATAGTATGAAATATCGCGCCTACCTACATTCCATCACTGATAGTAAGATGCTTTATTATTATTAAAATCTAAATTTATTCACTTTTACTCCTTAATTTTAATTACCTTAAAATGAGAGATTATCATTATAAAATCTCAAGAGATTTATTTCAATAATAAAATTTTCTTATAAAAACCAAAAAATATTTTTCATAAAATTCATAAAACTTAATACATAATGAATCGTTTACATATCTTGATTTTTATTCTTTTTACCTTTCTTTTCGCTACCGCTTTTTCAAAAGAGGATTTAGTACCTGTCCAAGAGATTAATCCTAAACCTCTTATAATCAAAAAAGTTGGACACAATAAATTGATTGCAGAAGTTACATGGGATGGAATACTTGAAAGTGATAATGGTAATGTTTATTCCCTATTTTTATATTTTACATAAATAATTTATTTTTATGAATTTTTTTTTTTTAAAAAAATAAATAGTACCGGTTAGAACCAAATTTAGATGTTTTTCTGATGCTGTGACTGTTAAAGATCCTAAGGTAAATTATTCGTCCTTATAAACTTCAAAATAATCATAAGTTTATCTTTATTAACTAAAATATTTTTTTATAGCATGCTTTATTCGGTGACCGTAAGGTCAATTTCGAAATAAAGGTTCACAAAAAGAATGTCACAGTGAAATGTCAATATGGGGTTATAGATGGTGTCATTTTCATAAGAAGAATTCGTTTCCGAACCTAACTCATCCTTTTGTCACTGGGTTGACAATATTAACATTATTATATCATCTACTTATTATTAATTGTTGTCCAATATATTGAAAAGTGTATCAAACTTGCTATTTTTTCAAGTTTTTGCATTATTTATTTTTTAATGTAATATGTGGCGCAGCTGAATTCTGCGCAATGTTTAAAATAATGAAATTGTAATAAAAAGTTATAATAACAAGCCTTCTCTTTGGAATGTTTACATATTTAATAATTTAGACGAGATTTATTAATTACATGCCTTTTATATTTGTGATATATGAATTAATTCTACTAATACTATCATATTTCAATATTAGATGCCTCATAAAAATAAAATCCCGCATATTCATGATCAATAAATCTGTTATCAATCATTTTGCCCCCGCATTGTATCAAGCTAACACAGTTCCTACAGTTCAATTAGCATCGATAATTCCATAAAATTATTTTTACAAAAAGTTTGC